CATGGTTTAACTGAAGTTCGGGAGGGATAGCAATGACAAGTCAATCTCACACAGCTGTACCAAATCACCGTCATCACCAAACTAGCTACAGTATATAAACTGAACTTCAAGCCTCCCTTTACATTCACCTCCTGCAGCCCATCTCCACCTGCCCCTTGGTTCACGAATGGGCTTTACAGTAAGTCAGGAGGCTGCCCATTAACCAAGCCAGTTAAGCCAGTTGAGCCAAACATTTCTCAGCACGTGTTCCAGACATTCACGAAACATTCAATGTTGACTAAGATCTAATAAAATGTTAGGTTTCTAATAGGTGAAAATCTGAAAGGGACAGGAGTGGAGTGGTGGCTCTGTGGCTAAGGATCTGTGCCTGTGGCTGGAAGGTTGCCAGTTCAAATCCTGCAGCTGGTAGAGGAATCCTACTCTGTTTGGCCCCTGAGCAAGGCCCTGAACCCCCAACTGCTCCAGGGGTGCTGTACAATGGCTGACCCTGTGTTCTGACCCCAAGCGTCTCTCTCCCTGTGTCTGTGTCTCATGGAGAGCAAGCTGGGGTATGTGAAAAGATTAATTCTTAATGCAAGAAATTGTATAGGGCTAATGAAGTTATGTTATATCAGTCTTGTAGAGTAACATCTAGTTGTGAACTACTCTCAAAAACTGTTTAGACCAACTCTACACACACAATTATGACAATAAAGTGTGCATTCTGGCTTTGTAAGACGGGGAGGAAAACTGATGTTGTGCATGAGATTGAAATTATTTTAAAACATTTTCTAAACAAAAGCCTTTCTTCAGACTGAAAACTAAACAAAGCACCAAATTGTGTCACTTTGTAAAAACTGTTAGTCGATGTTGCCATGGTGTTTTTACCATGATTTAGATTCATGTGGGGGAAAAAAAGCTTTTTTTTTGTTGTTTTGCAAACAGCATATGCTCAGTTTCACATGCTGCTTCTGCATGACCGGAGAAGCAGAGGTGTAAATTTGAATGTTTTATAAATGTTACACAAAGCAGCTGAGATGTAGTTTTCAGTTTTCGTTTGTGCAGGAAAGCCAGATACACTGAGCATCAGAAGAAACGCCGCTCTATTTATGCATGTAAGGTTTTTAGAAAAAGAGAATATACAGTACAGCTTTTGCACACTGACTACATTTCTTTGGCAACGTTTGTATTCATTGACCATTCATGACTGAATGTGAGACGTGAGTAATTTTGATATTGATATTGATGGGGCGATTTAATCTACTGACCATCCAGCCTGGAGAAACTCAAGAAAGGAAATACACAAAGGAATAAATGTGCTCCACATAGCAAGAGCACAACACCCTGGTGTTATGAGTATGCAGGAGGCTTGGCTGGGCTCGCCAACAGTGTAGCCAAGTCCTTGTCAGCAGTAAATCAAGGTTTTGTGTAGAAAACCCTGATGGATATAATCTAGAATGATACACTAATTGCTATAATAATAATAATAATTAATAATTGCTTACACTTATATAGCGCTTTTCTGGACACTCCACTCAAAGCGCTTTACAGGTAATGGGGATCCCCTCCACCACCACCAGTGTGCAGCCCCACCTGGATGATGCGACGGCAGCCATAGTGTGCCAGAACGC